CTGGGCAACACAGTGAGATCCTGTCTCAAAAAAGGCCTCAAGAAAACAGCATGATAGCCAGGTGCAGAGGCACATGTCTGTAGTCCCAGCTACTAGGGAGGCTGAGGCAGGAGGATTGCTGGAGCCCAGGAGTTCAACACCAGCCTGGGCAACATAGTGAGACCCTGTCTCTAAAACCACAAATAAATCAAACAGCACAGTACTGGCATAAAAACAGCCACAGACCAATGGAACAGAATAGAGAGCCCAGAAATAAATTCAGACATTTATGGTCAATTGATTTTTTGTTTGTTTGTTTTGAGACAGGGTCTCCCTTTGTCACCAGGCTGAAGTGCAGTGATGCTGTTATAGCTTAGTGCAGCCTTGAGCTCTTGGGCTCAAAGGATCCTCCTGCCTCACCCTCCTGACTAGCTAAGATTACAGGTGTGCCCCATCATGCCCAGCTAATTAAAAACAAATTTTTTTAGAGTCAGGGGCTTGCTATGTTGCCCAGGTTGGTTCCAAACTCTTGGCCTCAAGCAACTCACACATCTCACCCTCGCAATGTGCTTGGGTTACAGGCATGAGCCAATATAGTCAACTGATTTTTGACAAAGGTGCCAAGAACACAGAATTATCAAAGAACACTCTCTTCACTCAATGGTGTTGGAACAACTGGATATTCATATGCAGAGGAATAAAACTAATATTTCACACCATATCAAAAAATAAACTACAAATTAAGTAAAGACTTAAATACAAGACCTAAAACTGTAAAACTACTAGAAGAAACCACGGAAGAAAAGCTCCATGACATTCATCTAGGCCATGATTTTTGGGATATAAACCCAAAAGCACAGGCAACAAAAACAAAAATTGACAAATGGGATTGCATCAAACTAAAAATCTCTTGCACAGCCAAGGATGCAATCAAGAGTAAAGAGACAACCTGTAGAATGGAAGAAAATATCTGCAAATCATACATCTGATAGAAGGTTAATATAAAAAAAAAAAACCTCAAATAACTCAGCAATGAGAAAACAAAGAAGCTAATTTAAAAATGGGCAAAGGATCTGAGTAGGCATTTCTCCAAAGAAGACACAAAAAGATCCAACAGGTATATGACAAAATGCCCAAATCAACAATCATCAGAGAATGATAATTAAAATCACAGTGAGATACCACCTCACACCTGTTGGAATGACTGTTATCAAAAAGACAAAAGATAACAAGTGTTGGAGAGGATGTGGAGAAAAGGAAACCCTTGCACATTGTTGGTGGGAACATAAATTAGTACAGCCATTGTGAAAAACAGTATGGTGGTTCCTAAAAAAAATAAAAATTAAAAAATTACAAAAGTATCCACTAATCCCAGTACTAAGTATATATCCAAAATAAAGGAAATAAGTATGTGAAACAGATATCTGCACCCTGATGCTTATTGCAGCATTATTCACACTAGCCAAGATGAAATGAACCTAAGTGTTCATCAACAGATGAATGAAGAAAATGTGTATGTATGCAATGGAGTGTTATTCAGCCTTGAAAGAAGGAAGAAATCCTGTCACTAGCAACAACATGGATAAATCTAGAAGACATTATATTAAGTGAAATAAGCCAGGAACAGAAACACAAATATACCACATAATTTCACTTATATGTGGGATCTCAAAAAGTTGAACTTATAGAAGTAGAGAATATCATAGTTACTAGGGAGTTGGAGGAGAGGTTGGGGAAACCAATAAACAAATATTTCAAAATATCTTGTTATAGCAGCCTGAACAGACTACGACAGACCCTTATCCAATACCATGTATAAAAATGAACTCAAAACAGATCAAAGTCCTAAATGTAAGATCTAAAACTCTAAGAAGTAAACATAAGTGAAAAGCGTCACAGCATTTGGCTATGACTTATTGGATAAGACACCAAGAGCATAGGCCACAAAAGGAAAAAAAATAGACTGGGTGAAGCGGATCATGCCTGTCATCCCAGTACCTTGGGAGGCAGAGGTGGAAGGATTGCTTGAGGCCCGGAATTTGATACAGGGAGCTATGATTGTGCCACTGCACTTCAGCCTGGGCAACAGAGTCAGACCCTGTCTCTTAAAAAAATAGACTGGATATCATACAAATTTTTAAATTTGTGCATCAAAAGATACTATTAAGAGAGTAAAAAGGCAACCCACCGAATGGGAGAAAATATTTGCAAGTATTATATCTAATAAGATATTAATATTCAGAATATAGTCACTCACCACTTAATGATGGGGATACATTCTGAGAAATGCCTCATTTGGTGATTTGGCCTTTGTGAGAACAACATAGAGTGTATTCTATGTGCTAAAATACACATAACATTAAATTTACCATCTTGACCATTTTTAAGTGTATAGTTCAGTGGTATTAAACACATTCATAATACTGTGCAACCGTCACCGTCTATCTCCATAATTTTTTATTTGTCCTTTTGTAACTGGCTTACTTAGCATAATGTCCTCAAGAATCATCCAAGTTGTAGCCTTTGTCAGAATTCCAGAACTACGTTACAGTACTTGCCTAGTAAGGAAGTTGCTGCTGCTAACCCTGGAACCAGCTACATCTGCTGAGGTTAGGCAACTCTTGCTGCCAAAACGAACCCCAGAATATACTGCATTTGCTGCTACCCACGCCAGCAAAAATAGACACCAGCCACCCAACAGAACCCTTTGTTGGTGTATATAATGAGTGGAAGCTTAGTAGTGTATAAAATTAATCCAGTTGTGCACAGTGGCTTATGCCTGTAATACCAGCACTTTGGGAGGCCGAGGTGGGTGGATCACGAGGTCAAGAGATCCAGACCATCCTGGTCCACATGGTGAAACCCCATCTCTACCAAAAATACAAAAATTAGACGGGCGTGGTGGCACGTGCCTGTGGTCCCACTACTCGGGAGGCTGAGATGAAAGAATTGCTTGAACCCAGGAGGTGGAGGTTGCAGTGATCCGAGATTGCGCCACTGCACTCCAGCCTGGTGACAGAGCAAGACTCTATCGCAAAAAAAAAAAAAAAAGGAAAAAGGAAAAAAAAAATTAGTGCATATCCCATTCCAGTAGTAAGGGAGGCTGGATATATTTTTTCCCTTCAAATTCTACCTTGGAAGGTAGGATTCATGATGTGGGGGATTATAAAAACGTGGAGGGTGTTCAAAAGATTTTGGACAGTCGCAAATGACAGATATTCATTATGTAGTGCCTGTCTCTTCCTTCGTATTCACTTTCTACATCCCTCCAAAGTCACCAAAATTCTGGCTAATTTGCCTCATAAATAGCTCAGGCATATACTTACTTTCTCTATCCTCCCTGACATTTCTTTAGTGTAAGTCACTCCATGGGGATGGGAAATAAGAGGTAGGTAAGAGAAGGAGAAGAGAGATGCCTTGAAATTTTGGGGTTCTCTATATAAAAGCTGTCAAATTAAAATTTAACTGTAGGTAGTGCCAAAGGCAGAAAGAAATCTAAATTTTCTTCCAAGTAACAATATATTGTTCTTTTTAACTGAAACAAACTTTCTGGATCTCTCTCTCTCTCTCTCTTTTTTTTTTCAGTCAAGGAAGGCTCCGTTGCCCAGGCTGGAGTGCAGTGGCACCATCACAGCTTGGCCTCCCTGGCTCAAGGAATCCTCTCACCTCAGTCTCCCAACTAGCTGAGACTACACGTGCCCACCACCACGCCTGGCTAGTTTTTTTTTTTTCTTTAATGGAGACAGGGCCACCATGCCTGGCTACTTTAATTTTTTTTTTTTTTTTTTTTTTTTTTTTTTTTTTTTTTTTTTTTTTTTTGGTAGAGACAAGATCTCTCTTTGTTGCTCAGGCTGGTCTCCAGCTCCTGGGCTCAAGTGATCCTACCATCCTGGCCTGTCAAAGTGCTGGGATTACAGGTGTGAGATCTTTTTACTTACCAACACATCCAAGTACTCTGTGTCGGTGGTACACACTCTTGGGACAGGGAAGTTAGTGTTTAAATTGTGGCCATGGCTTCTTTACATTTTCTGTGATCTTGAGCAGTCTCACAATTCTCAAAACTTAATTCATTATAGAATTATTAGAGAATTTCTGTGAGATAATCAGGCATAAATTTTTAAAGCGCTAATATTGCTGCGATGTCCAAATGACTACATAAATTATTATCCACCTACATGCTAAACTGCTATGTAGCCATTAAAAAAATGAAGCTACTCTAAATATACTAATATGAATAGTTTCCAAGATATCCCGAGTGAAGAAAACACAGTATAGAACAATGTATATAGTATGCTACCACCATTTTTTGTATGTGTGCATGCCTTCACGTCTGTGTAGGGGTGTAGGCATATTTAAGCTTGTAAATTCACAGATCTTTGGAAGGATACACAAGGAACTGGCAATAGTGGTTGCCTTCAGAGAAGAGAACCTCCCTACTGGAGGCAGGGGTGGTGGAAGGGGCGGGGGACAAAGAGGGTGGAGATTGAACTTCTGAATTTTGTTCCATGTGCTTATATTACAAATTCAAAAAAAAAAAAGTTATAGTTAATTTTTTTTTAAGAACCTGGAATTAAGCCCTATCTATGAAAGCTGAATAGATCAAAGTGAGAGATAACTGAATTTGAAGTCCAGGTACAGCAGAAGTTTGGGGCTCCTCTGTTACCCATGCTTATCCACATCTTTATTTTTTCTTTTCCTAAAGCATCCGGGCCTTTAGTTCAAATATTGGCAGATCTACGGTTTACTAGGTAGAATTTTTGTTATGGCATACATCAACATATTCCAAGTTTCTCTGCTTGGATGGAATAGATGCGTTAAATTCTATTAAATGAGTAAATTGTGAAAAATAGAAGGACTTTCAATAGGCATTATTTTTCAGGATCTTAGAAAGTTATGCCTGATAGTTTTATAATGTCTGTAGTATACCTTTTGCAGTCCACAGAATGCACTCACATACATTATCAGCTGATCCTTCGCAGAGAAGCCCCATGTGATTCTTTTCTATTCTCAGCTTTGTCCATGAACTAAAATTAGAACTAGGCTGACATTACATTTCACTTGGTTACAGCTGACTGGGGATTTTAATCATTTGGAGCCACATTGAAAAAAAAATCCCCCTGCAATCTACTTTTAGCTGATAGTCATTAACTTTGGTTATGTGAACTTCAGTGTCCACCGATATTGGTAAGTATTCGACAATGGTAAGTATTTTTCAGAAACATTTATTCCTTTATTCTTCACATATAACTAGATTGCTGCTGATACCTATACTGTGTCTGTATTGGCCAGAATGTCCAAACAAACTGGAATTGAATTTAAAAGTTTTTTTGTGGGGCGTTCATTAACACTCATATAATTGTGCACCTCTGGAAGATAGATTTCCCCAGAAGTAAGAAACAATTCTTCTGCAATTCGTTTTCTATGTTTACCTTACTGCCACACTATGTGCTTTTTTTTTTTATTATTATGGTAATAATCAAAGCAGAGAGTACAATCCTGTGCTGGAGGAAGAAATACATCATTATTGACTTGTGTTTCCCTAAGGGAAGTTGGTCATTATAGAAAAACTGATGGATGAACAACGTTTAATGGCCAATGAGAAAATGAATTAGCAAATGGATGAATTGTTTTACATGTCTAGTAAAATACACGTATACGTGTAGATACTTGGGATTTTTTAAATATTTGCATTATTTCAGTATTTGGCAAAAACTTCAAACTTTCTTAAATCAGAGACAATAAATTGTAAATTGATTGCAACATGCTCAGGAAGTTGGATTACCAGTATATGTATCCCTAGGTTTCTTTATAGCAAAGAGATCTTGCATTCTGTTCCTGAGTAAATTCAAAATGCCTTGCTTAGAAATTCTCTCAACAATTTCTTGCATATGCCAATTATTTATCAACACTGAAATTTTAAATTTGTTTTCTGTAATATAGTTCTTCTCTGTCTGTCTCTCACACACACATATACTACATAGTATTAGTTTTAAAAAATCAATAATTTAGAAGAGGTCAATAATGAAAAATATTATCTATCCTATTTCTATCACTAGTCCTGCTCCCTAGAAGTAATCATTTTAAGCATTTTGGGATTTAGTTTTCAGTGGTTATCTCATATTTATTTTTTTTCTTTGTCAAAGACAATTGTGTGCTATTTTTAATCAACTTTAGACATTATCTATGGAGCTTCATTATGAAAGTTCCCTTACACTGCCATAGAGTTATATTCCTATTTTTAGTTTCTCTCTTGATTATTTTCATAAAATTAAGCAAATACGTTAATCTTTATTTCTTGTTCCATAAAGTACAGACAGTATCTGTTGATTCCCCACTTTGAAGATGTATATATTGGTGTTCCTATCGTTTACTTCTTTTTCTCATTTCCTTCTTTCACATTCTGTTAAAAGTACTGTTACTGGGCCAGGCGTGATGGCTCACGCCTTTAATCCTAGCACTTTGGGAGGCTGAGGCAGGTGGATTACAAGGTCAAGAGATCGAGACCAACCTGGTCAACATGGTGAAACCCCGTCTCTACTAAAAAATACAAAAAGTTAGCTAGGCATGATGGTGCGTGCCTATAGTCCCAGCTGTTCGGGAGGCTGAGGCAGGAGAATCACTTGAACCTGGAAGGCAGAGGTTGCAGTGAGCCGAGATTGTACCACTGCACTTCAGCCTGGCAACAGAGTGAGACTCCATCTCAAAAAAAAAAAAAGTACTGTTACTGTTATGTTTTCAAGACATACTGTTATGTTTTCAAGACATACTGTTATATTTTCAAGGCATTTATATTGTGTTCTGTAACCTTCAATAAATCTTCCTTACTTTTTTATAGGTTGATGTATTTCAAAAGGTCAAGACACAGGGTTTACAGTATCATAACTATGTAATTTCTATTTTCTGCAGAGCCAACATTTCCTTCTCAGTATCAATGTCATATTCATTGTACCAAAGAAGAATGTTAAAATAGATTCTCCTTTCCTGCACTTCAATAATTGCTAAAAATCATGCCACATTTTGCTGGCTTTACATATGGACTGTGCCTTTCTTGTACAGTGTCTTCCTCAACATAATTTCTGACAGCCTTTCTTTTTGCTTATTGGGAGAAGAAATTTCCTCTTTTCACCATATCTCCAATGTCACATGGTTTTTTTCCCACTTAATTCTAGCTATTAATTTTTATCATTCATTGGATGGATACTGCCATTTTTCTTTTTTTTTTTTTTTCTTTTGTGAGACAGTTTCCCTCTTCTTGCCCATGCTGGCGTGCAATGGTGCAATCTCGGCTCACTACAATCTCTGCCCCTTGGGTTCAAGCGATTCTCCTGACTCAGCCTCCCAAGTAGCTGGGATTACAGGTATGTGACACCACCCCCAGCTACTTTTATATTTTTTTAGTGGAGATGGGCTTTCACCATGTTGGTCAGGCTGGTCTTGAACTCTTGACCTAAAGTGATCCACCCGCCTCAGCCTCCCAAAGTGCTGGGATTACAGGCATTAGCCACCGTGCCCAGCTATTGCTTTAAAAACATTGTTTTATTTTATTTTTTATTTTTTTACTATCTTGAAAAATATTGCTGGGAACAGTCTTGTTCATGTTTCCTAGTGGAGACACACCCTTCCTCTAGGTATATACCTTTGAATGGAATTACTGGATCATAAGCTGTGCTTATCTTCAACATTACCACAAAAGTATTTCAAAATAGTTAATACTAATTTACAATTTCACCAATATACCAGCAGTGAGTGAGGATTTCTGTAACTCAAATTCTCACCAACACTTGGTGTAATCAGCCTTTTGAATTTTAGCCATTCTGATGGATGTTCATTGGTATCTTATTATGTTTTTAATAAGGTGGAGTACAATTTCATATGTTTTTGGTCATTTTGAATTTTTTTTTCTCCACAAGGCAAGTTCTACCATTTGGATTTTATTTTTTGAAAATTTCCTGTTCAATTGTATTTAGTGTTGTCTTTTTTAGTTGATTTTTAGGAGTTCTTTATGTATTCTAGATGTAGTCCATTGGTGGTTACGTATGTTGCCAATATCTTCCCCCACTAATGTACATGGTATTCCTTTTATTTTCTAAGTGATGCCTTTCAATAAGTTCTTAATTGTAACATAGACCAATTTATCAGTCTGTGTTAGGCTGTTCTTGCATTGCTTTAAAGAAATACCTGGCCAGGCACAGCAGCTCATGTCTGTGATCCTAGCACTTGTAGAGGCCAATGCAAGAGGACTGCTTGAGCCCAGAAGTTCAAGACCAGCCTGGAAAACATGGAGAGATCCTGTCATGACAGAAAAATAAAAATTAAAAAAAAGCTGGCACACTGGTTCTCGCCTATAGTCCCTTCATTTATTTAGGTCTTCTTTATTTCACTCCAATTTTTAGTTTTCTGTATAGAGGTTTTACACATCCTGTTTATTGTTAAGAATTTGATTTTTATGCTATTGAAAATAGCATATTTTTAACAATTTAATATCTATTCTGAAGGCTGAGGCAGAGGGAGTCCAGGAGATCAAGGCTATCGTAAGCCATGATTGTGCCACTTCATTCCAACCTTGGTGATAGAGTAAGCCTGTCTCAAGAACACACACACACACACATACACACACACACACACACACGCACACACACACACAAACAAAGAAATACCTGCTACTGGGTAAATTACAAAGAAAAGAGGTTTAACTGGCTCACGGTTCTGTAGGCTTTCAGGAAGCATGGTGCTGGCATCTGCTTGGCTTCTAGTGAAGCCTCAGGGAGCTTTCAATCATAGCAGAAGGTGGAGGGGGAAGCCTGCATCCCACAAGGCCAGAGCAGGAGCAAAAGAGGAAGCAGGGGGAGGTGCTACACACTTAACCAGATCTCACAAGAGCTCACTGTTTTAAGGACAGCACCATGCCAGAAGGGATCCTCCTCCATGATCTAATCACCTCCTACCTAGCCCCACCTCCAACATTGGGGATTACAGTTCAACATGAGATTTGGTGGGAACATATATTCAAACTATATCACAATCTTTTCCTTTATGGATATGCTTTGTATTCTGTTTTAAAAAGTGTTCTCCCCTTTAAGGACATGAAGATAAGACCGATATTGTCACGCAAATGCTTTACTTTTTCTACTTTCACTTTTAGGTCTACAATTCACATGGAATTAATTTTGATAATATATAGATATTCAACTGTACCAATGTAATTCTTCTTAAAAAATTATTTCCATGGCCAGGTGCAGTGGCTCATGCCTGTAATCCCAGCACCTTGGGAGGTCAAGGCAGGCAGATCACTTGAGCCTAGAAGTTCAAGACTAGCCTGGGCAACATGGAAAAATCCCATCTCCACAAAATACAAAAATTAGCCAGGTGTGGTGGTGTGTGCCCATAGTCCCAGCTTCTTTGGAGGCTGAGGTGATAGGATGGCTTGAGCCCAGGAGGTGGAGTTTGCAGTGAGCCAAGATCATGCCACTACTCTCCAGTTTGGACAACAGAACCAGACCCTGTCTCAAAAACAATTATTTCCACAATGTTCTGCAGTGCCCTTGTGTATGCGTCTATTTCTGGGGTTCCTTATTTAAGTACACTGATATGTTTGTCTATTGCACCAATAACATTATCTAGTACCGTAGCTTTAAAAGAGATCTTGATGAATGTGGAATAAATCCTTCCACTCTAGTTTTCTTTGGCAAGAGTATTTGGGCTATTTTGTAGCCTTAGAATTGTCACTAAAAATAAGAAACTGATTGCCAAGTTACCCCTCTCCTTCTCCAAATGAAATTTTTATTGAGATTGATTATAGTTCAATGTAGGTATAATTTTTACAGATTGAGTCTTTCAACCAATGAATATAATGTATATCTCTTCATTTATTTAGATCTTTAATTTCACTCCAATTTTTAGTTTTATTTATAGAGGTTTACACATCCTGTTTATTGTTAAGAATTTGATTTTTATGCTATTTAAAATAGTATTGTTTAAAGAATTTAATATCTATTTTCTCCTGGAATATAGATACATAATTGATTTTTCAAAATATTGACTTGCCAGAAATCTTGCTAAACATTGTTATTAATTCTATATATTTAGCTGTAGATTCTCTTGTATTTTGTAGTTCATAATTGTACACATGGAAATGTCTTTTTTTTTATTCCTTTTCAGACTTTATGCCTTTTATTTCTTTTTCTTGCTTTTATGCAATGGGTAGAGCCATTATACAGTATTGAATGGAAGTCATGAGAACAGACATCTTTTTCTAATTTTAAATGAAAGGCTTTCACTGTTACACTATTAAGTACGATTGCTGCAGGTTTTTATTAGATATGGTTTGTTAGGTTAAAGAAGTTATCTTTTATTTATAGTATGTTAAGAGTTGTTTTTAATCACATGATATTAAATTGTAATGATTTTCTACATCTATTGGAATAATATTTTTTTCTCTTCTAGTTTATTAATTCAGAATATTACATTAATTGATTTCTCAAAGATAAGCAAACAAACTTTAACCTCTGGAATAAACCCAACATGGCTATAATGTATTTACTTTGTTTTATGGTTTTTGTTTGTTTGTTTGTTTTTGAGATGGAGTCTGGCTCTGTCACCCAGGCTGGAGTGCAGTGGTGCTATCTCAGCTCACTGCAACTTCCACCTCTTGGGTTCAAGTGATTCTCCTGCTTCAGTCTCCCCAGTAGCTGGGATTACAGGTGCATGCCACCATGACTGGCTAATTTTTGTATTTTTGTATTTTTAATTTTCATTTTCTATATATTTTTTTGGAGACAGATTCTCACTCTGTCGCCCAGGCTGGAGTGCAGTGGCCTGATCTCGACTCACCGCAACCTCCTAATTTTTTGTATTTTAGTAGAGACAGGGTTTCACCATGTTGCCCAGGCTGGTCTTGAACTCCTGAGTTCATGCAATCCACCCATATCAGCCTCCAAAAGTGTTAGGATTACAGGCATGAGCCACCACACCTGGCCCCTTTTGTATATATATATATATATTTTTTCCCCCATTTATTTATTTTATTGCATTTTAGGTTTTGGCTTTTGTATATTTTTAATAGAGATGGGTTTCACCATGTTGGCCAGGCTGGTCTCGAACTCCTGACCTTGAGTGATCTGTCTGCCTCAGCCTCCCAAAGTGCTGGAATACAGGCATGAGCCACCGCACTGGGCCAGTATTTTCTTTTTCACATATTACCAGATATGGTTTGCCAGTATATTGTTTAGTACTTTTCTCCATAATATGTTTGTTAGTGAGATTTTGTATTTTTCTTTCTAGAATTACCATTCTTAGGGTTTGGTATCAAGGTTATGCTAATCTCATAATCTGAATTGGGAAGTCTTTTCTTTCTGTTCTCATGAAGAGTTTGTGCTATGGTTACTGTTATTATTACCCCTCAAATGCTTGGTAGAATCTGCTGTTGAAGTCATCTCTGGAACTAGCAGTTTTTAATGGAGAGATTTTAGATTGTTATTATTGTATTCTATTGTGTCATTTAAAAATTTTATACATGTATGAGCTTATGTATGATATGCCCTTCTGCTTTCTTTGGGTTTGTTTTGCCTTCTTTAACTTCCTGAGATGGATGTAAAGTTTTGAGCCTCATTTCTTCTAAAATGTATATTTAAGGCTAGAAATTTCCCTCTACTATATTACCTATATTCCATACATTCTGATTTGTGATGTTTTGTTAATTCAGTTCAAAATCCTTTCTTATTTTCATTATGATAGCTTCTTCGACTTTTTCATTATGATAGCTTCCATGTGTTTTTTTAAAAACATTATGTATTCTGTCATTGTAGGACATAGTTCTTTATTTACCATTTAATTACATCTATTTATTGTGTAGTTCAAATCTTCAGTATTCTTCCTAAGTTTTAAACTGCTGGTTCAATCAATCGCTAAAAAAAAATGGTTAAAATCTTCCACTTCAATTCTGGATTCCTTGATTTTTCCGTTTAGTTCTATCAATTTTCCCTCATATATTTGGAAGCCATGTTATTAAAGGTATACAGTTTAAAGTTCTTTTATATTTCTTGTGGAATGAATCTTTTATTATTATATGATTGATCTTTTATGTCTGGAAAGTATTTGTGCCTAAAGTCCATTTTGTCTGTTATTAATATGTTGATACTAGCCTTCTTTTGCTTAGTGTTTCCACAGTATATCTTTCTCAGTTCTCAAAAAATCTAATTGATTAGCCAGACATGGCGGCACATGCCTGTACTTCCAGCTACCTGAGAGGCTAAGGCAGGAGGATCACTTGATCCCAGAGGTTGGGGCTGCAGTGAGTCATGATCCTGCCACTGCATTGAAGCCTGGGTGATAGAGTGAGACTTTGTCTCAAAAAAGCAAAGAAGAAAGAAAGGGAGGAAGGGAGGGAGGGAGGGAAGGAAGGAAGAAAGAAAGGAAATAAAAAAGAAAAAATTAATTGAAATATAATTCATATATAAATTCTCTCTTTTAGTGTACAACTCAGTGGTTTTTAATATATTCAAGAGTTGTACAATCATCATCACTAATTCTAGAACATTTTAATCACTCAAAAAACTGTACAGTTAGCAGTCATTCCCTATTCCCCCCTCTACAAAACACCTGGGTACCACTAAGCTACTTTTTGAATCTATAGATTTGCATATTCTGGAGATTTCTTATAAATGAGATTATGTATGTGGTCTTTTGTGTCTGGCTTCTTTCACTTAGCATAATTTTGTTCAACGTTTATTTATACTGTGGCATGTATCTATACCTTATTCATTTTTATTGCCAAATAATATTTCATTGTATGGACATACCACCTCTTGTTTATACATTCATCAGCAAATGGCCATTTGTGTTGTTTCCACCTTTTAGCTATTACAAATACTGTTTCTATCAACATTCACATACAGGAGTTTGTGAGAACATATGTTTTCGTTTCTCTTGGGTATATACCTAGAAGTGGATCTTTTCTATTCTTGTACTGTCCACTTTTCTCTATCTTTGTTTTTTAGGTATGCCTCTCATAAACAACACTCAGGATTTTGTCTTTTCTTTAATTGGATGATCTTTGTATATTAACTTGGAACACTTAGTCATCAGGGAAGTACAAATTATGACTATCCTGGGATATCGCTTTAGGCAGTAGTATGTTGGTGAGGATGTATAACAATGGGGACCCTTACACAGTGGTAGTAAGGGCATAAATGGGCACAGACAATTTGGAAAACAAATTGGCTCTGTCTTGTAAATTGGAACATGTACATACACTATGATCCAGCAATTCTAATTCTAGGTATGTACCCAATAGAAATAATTCCACTTGAACACCAAGAAAATAAAACAATAATTTTAGAAACATTATTGCTTATAATAGCAAAGCTCTGGGACTCAAATATTCACATTCATTAGAATGGATAAACTGTGGCATAGTTATATATTTTGGAGATCATGGCATATGAATATATGACACTTTTCCTTTTTTTTGAACTATATAATTTCCCATGATATGGGTAGACTATAGTTTACTGATGAAATGTTAGGCTGTTTCAATATTTTGCTGTTATAAAAAACACTGCAAATAACTTTGAAAATATTTGAAATATAAATTAAGTGTGGATGAGCATTTGTGAGTTTGATAGATATTACCAAGTTTCTCTCCATACAGAATATAACAAGACTACCATTGATTAATGAGAATGTCTGTTTCCCTATGTTGTTGCAAATTTCATTGCTTCCTTTTCCAACTACATTACTTTCTATTTACTTTACTTGCATTACAGTCTTTCTATAATGTTGAATATAAATGATTGTGGATGTCTTTGTATTCCTGAATTTGAAAGGAAATAATTTAAATAATTGTAAATCAAATTCTTTTATTATTGCTAGTTTGGTAAAAAAAAAAATCATTATGATTATTTTAAGGCCATAGGACATTCCATGAAATGTACCTACCATAATTTACATAACCATTCTTCTATTATTATTTTCTGAAATTCAGGCCAAAGTCCTTAATACTGCCATCTGTCCATTTGCAATTTATTTTACACAAAAAGAAGGAATCCCAATATGCTAATCACTTAACTGAATTTCCACTTGTGCATATGGGATCCTGATTAGATTGATATCTCAAGATGCCAGTCTTTTAAAAATCTCCATTATATAACTATTTTCCTATAATCAGACATGAAGACTAGCTGCAGTTTTTCATTATTGTAAATTACCTAATAACAAAGGAATCATGTGTTAGATATGAGACCCCCAAGACAATTGTTCGTCTTCTTTAAAGCTTAATTTTCTCATCTACATATTAGTTAATAAAAGTACCTATATTATAGTATTTTATGAGAACTTTTAAGTATGATATGGCATGTAAAGTATATAAAATAACTTGTGGAGCATGGAATGTGTTCTATAAATATTAACTATTATGATCTTTATGGTATTCAGTGAACAGTCTGAGACATTGCTTTTTTTCTCTGGTACAATTAGGTCCTTTCTGAAATGGCATCTATGATTCAGCTATTCAAAACTTAATGAAGTTGGTGACTCTATGACAATGTGGAGGAATCATGACTGAAAATGTGGTTTGTACTGGGGCTGTCAATGCTGTAAAGGAAGTTTGGGAAGAAAGAATAAAGAAACACAATGAAGACCTGAAGCGAGAGAAGGAATTTCAACGCAAGTATGCTAAAACATATTTATTATTTTGAATTAGCGAAAATTCATATTATCATCACCATAAAAAAGAACATCTAAATGCCTTATTATTGAATTTGACATAGATTTTTATTTACTGAAAACTCAAAATATGCTTAAAGGAAATAGCTGACTCAAATTTGTCTATGTGATAGGAGTCACAAAAAATACACGTGAAAATAGTAGCTATCTTATGCACTCATACAACTGTGTTTAACATTGATCAAAGTTTGATTAGCATTATATAGCCTAATTTTTAGGACTGTATGTTCAGGATTACATGACCTAGGATCTAAAACAATATTTGGCCGTAGAAGGTATAGTAGATTCTCAACTATTTGAATAGCCGTGTGTTCTAGCCAGGGCTGCTGGATCACTTGATTCTTTGATTTGGGCTATATTTATGTCACTCTCATTTCCTCTGCCTCCATTTTTATCTTACGTACTTTCTTGATTGGATGTCTCCAAAAAGTATTCCACTAATCCTGCAAAAATAGCCCCTTTCCTCATAGATTCATATAGTTCCATACAATTCTCGTTCATTGTCTCTTTCTAAACATTAAATTAGCAAGTGTTATTTTCCAATGTCAGCAAATAACAGAAAATTCAACTAAAGATGGCTTAAGCGATAGGGAAGTAAGGCAGTTCCAAAGATAGTCAGTCCAAAGCCTCAACATCTTTTAAAAGTCAGCTTTTCTTTTCACCTTCCACTGTTAATCTCCGGGTCAGTTTGATCCTCAGATTAGCTTCCTTCACTGTTACAAGATGACTGATGCATTTCCAGACATCACAGCCAATCATCATTATGTTTTCAGAAGAGTGGAAACTATTTTTTTCTATTTCTTCTTTAAGAGTAAGAAAATCTTTCTCAGAGGGTCCCCCCAAAACCCTCTCCTTCACCTCTCATTGACCAGAATGGGATCATTTGTACACATCTAACCCAGTTACCTTCTAGGGGAATGAGATTGTTTGATTCGTTTAGACAAATTAAGATTCATCCTGGTGTATTAGTCCATTTTCATGCTGCTGATAAAGACATACCTGAGACTGGGTAATTTGTAAAGGAAAGAGGCTTAATTGACTCACAGTTCCATATGGCTGAGGGGGCCTTACAATCAAGCTGGAAGACAAAGGAAGAGCAAAGGGACATCTTACATGGCTGTCAGCAAAAAGAGAATGAGAGCCACACAAAAGGGGAAATCTCAGCCGGACACAGTGGCTCATGACTGTAATCCCAGCACTTTGGGAGGCTGAGGCAGGTAGATCACCTGAGGTCAGGAGTTTGAGACCAGCCTGACCAATATGGTGAAACCCCATCTCTACTAAATACAAAAAATTAGCTGGGACTGTTGGTGCGACCCTGTAATCCCAGCTATTTGGGAGGCTGAGGCAGGAGAATCACTTGGACCCAGGAGGCAGAGGTTGCAGTGAGCCGAGATTGTGTCATTACACTCCATCCTGGGCAACAAGAGTGAAACTGCATCTCAAAAACAAAAAAAAAAAAAAAAAAAAAAAAAAAAAAAAAAAAAAAAAAAAAAAAAAAAAAAAAAAGAAAGAAAGAAAGGGAAAACTTCGTATAAAACCATCAGATCTTGGAAGACTTATTCACTACCATGAGAACAGTATCGGACCCTTCCACAACATGTGGGAATTACCGGAGCCACAATTAAAGATGAGATTTGGGTGGAGACATAGCCAAACCATATCACCTGGATTACTTGGTAAACACTTGGACTTGGAAACAATTGGTATTCTTCCAGTAAACAAGGGTGAGGGGCAAGAATCTACTGATAAGCAATGATTTGTGTCACTAAATATCTGTAAAAGCAAAAGATCTGGACAAGGAAAAATCATTCTTCCCAAGAGAAGCTAATAAAGATGACACTGATGCTAACAATGATAGATAAGGGCAGCAGGCACTTATTGTGCACTTATTGTTTACTAGGAACTCTGCTAACTACTGTATTTGTACTATCTCATTTAATTTTCTCTACATGCTGAAATATAGTATCATTATGAGGATGAGACTGTCCTATGAGAGAAGAAAATCAAAATAATAGTGGCTTAAACGAGATCTGTTAACTTTTCTGATAAGTGATCCACTGCTGGAATAGCACTCCACTGAGTCAGACATCCTAGTTTCTTCTATCTTGTTGCTCAATTGTGCACGTTTTCCATTCCTGAAGTCCCCTCGTGGTCCAAACTAGATACACCAACTGCAGCCATCATATTTGTTTCTGGTTAGGAGGAAGCTGCACTTCCAGGAAGCTGCTCACACTGCAGTTTCTGCTGACATCCCACTGGCCAAAACTTCACATAACCCATATCTAGCTATGAAAGAGGATAGGTAAATGAGATCTTATGCCCAGTTAAATTTAGATAATTTATTATTGCTTTTTATTTTTTTAGAGACAGGATCTTGGGTTCCTGCTATGTTGCCCAGGCTGGACTTGAACTTCTGGGCTCAGCTATCCTCCTGCTTCAGCCTCCTAGGTAGCTGGGACTATAGGTGCACACCTGGCTCAGGATCCATTATTGAGGAAGAGAAGAGTTACATCTTTGCCATATGCAGATGCTTTTATTTTCTCCAATTTAAAGATGGAAAACCTGAGGGACAGTTCTAAGAAATTTGTCAAAGATCACACCACTAACACATGTGAAACTGGTATGGACACCTAAGCAATCTGACTCAGTAAGCATTACATTCACCTCAGGTTTTACATTTCCCCAGATTGACCCTTTCTACATAAAGCTACACTTAAGAAATGTGTTATGTTTATATTGCACAGTTATGAAAACTCTGACTCTAGACTACTCTTTCTTCTTTATTTTATTAATGCCCCAACTTCTTTTGACCCATAGAATATTTTTAATAAACCCTATCCATTTTTTTAACAGTGGCTAGGAATCATGACTTGGTTCTCAACTCCTGAATTTCACCTATTTCATGTATCTAGTGTTAAAGAAAAAAATTATCTGAACACGTGCTAATGATGGTAAGGCAGACTTTATTCAATGGGAGCCATGCAATTGGGTATAAGGAGCACTGCAATGGGGTCTTGCAGTCAGAGAGAGAGATTGGGCTCAGTTCTCACATGAACAAGGGCAAGTGGGCATTTTTATATAACCCAGGAGCAGGGTGGGATTCAGTGGATGTAAAATTATTAAGAGGAAATATCAAGGATGAGGTTTCTGGCTAAAATGACTTGATAGAATTATTGCTGAAGGAGGGTATCAAGGAAGGAGGAGTTCCCCTTAAACTGACATAGCATACTTTTTTCTCGTAAAAATGTTTTTAAACTTTTCCCCACCCAGTTCTTAGTAAGTGTGTAGACACAGCAATATTTTTGTTCAAAGTGGATTCTACAAGGATAGAGAGGGAAGCCCCAGGGTCAAGCCTGGTCAAGCAGAAGACTTAGGAGCCTGACTAAAGTGTTGATAAAAGGGATCTTTGTCATTATTAAGAATCGTTTAATTTCAGAAATTTCAGAAGTTCTCTATGTAAGAGTAATGAGTGTGCAGTCTTGCCCTTACTGCTTGTTCTTTTTGGCATCATCTATTTTATGATTAGGGAGGAGGATTTTCTGTTAGCAAAATGTAATTTCCAAAAGTTAAGTTACACACAAATCTATGATTATGAAGATTATGCCTAGAATTTGTAGAGTTTTCTGATAACATTTGAGGAAAAAAATTAGAGATTGTTTAAAAATGTAGGGGGGAAATTACAAACTCTCTTTTGCCAACCCTAGACCAAAATCGGCTTCTACTTTTAGAAACATTACATGGAGATTGTGTAATGTAGTTTTTCAAAACACCTTTCCCTTAGTCTTAAAACAATTTCATTGTAAAATCATTGTACAATATTATAAAGCTTGGTTCATGGTTAAAATTAAGTATAAACCACTTTAAAAGTACATTGTCTAGAGATCAAAGGTTAGGTTTAAAACCTGTAATGCGACTAAATAAATAATTTTCCAGGCATGGTGGCTCACGCCTGTAATCCCAGCACTTTGGGAGGCTGAGGTATGAGGATCTCTTGATCCCAAGGAGTTTGAGACCAGACTGGGCAACATAGTGAGACCCCATCTCTAAAAGAAATTTAAATTAGCTGGGCATGGTGGCATGCAACTGCAGTCCCCGATACTTAGGAGGCAGAGGGGTGAGGCAGGAGGATCGATTGAGCCCTGGAGGTCGAGACTGCAGTAAGTCATGATTATACCACTGCACGCCAGCCTGGGTGACAGAGCAAGACACTGTCTCATAAAAAAAAAAAAGAAAGAAAAAGAAAAAAATTAATAAATAAACAATGATAATTGATGCAAAATGGTAAGAATCTTAGAGTCCTTTCAAGGTGAGACAGAGAAGCTGATTGTCAGCAAAAGGCTAATCGGAAAATTCATAGAAATTTTAAACTGACCAAAAGTAACCCAAAGAGATGTCCCTTCTTTTTTACTCTGCTCTTAAATAGAGCAGTGTTTCTCAAACTTGTCTGTATAGGAATCACACAGAGATCTTATTAAAATAGGCTCTGGGTTAGTAAGTCTGGAGTAGGACCAAGAGTCTGGATTTCTAACAAGCTCCCAGGAGACAATGATGCTGCTGTTGTGCAAATCACAGTGAGTAGCAAGGAAGCAGACAGAAGCAGAAGATTTGAAAGTGGTCTGTACACAGGCAAGGGGTAAGAAGGGTAAAAATGTAATCTAATGCTTCCTCTCTCAGCTAAAAGTGGCTAAAGCTTTGGGTACAAATGAAAGAAAAAAAAGCCTACAGTTTTAATAGAAATTGTTCTTTCTCGCCGGGCGCGGTGGCTCAAGCCTGTAATCCCAGCACTTTGGGAGGCCGAGGCGGGTGGATCACGAGGTCAAGAGATCGAGACCGTCCTGGTCAACATGGAGAAACCCCGTCTCTACTAAAACTACAAAAAATTAGCTGGGCATGGTGGTGCGTGCCTGTAATCCCAGCTACTCAGGAGGCTGAGGCAGGAGAATTGCCTGAACCCAGGAGGCGGAGGTTGC